GCATATACAAACCATTCAAGCTTCCCGCAGGCATAATATTGCAGCCCTCGCAGAGGATGGAACCTAGGGTACACTCCTGTAATTGCATGACACATATGAAGTTGAACAAAAAGCACACACACGAGACCAATGAGAATGCATCCAAATGGGAAAAATGATACACAGATGATAAGATAACATACTTCCATAAACTGGGATGGTCAGTCTACAATATGTCACCGCTTTATTCCAATCTTGCAGATCCATCAATATCTGGAAAATGTGACATCCAATCATCAAGAACTTGCATGCATTTCGTAAATAAATAAGTTATATTTGCATAAAAAAAAGACTAGAAGGGTACTTGTGTGATGCAGCATAATGTAAAATTTAATTGTAAACCAAAAAACTGAATTGTTTTTTAAATTTATTTTTTATGATTTTTTGCTAAATAGATCAATTGCGAGATGGGGTTTCCAAAAATCAAAATGTTCAGTTGTTTATTTGGTTGATTGACCTTATATTTGGGAAGGGTAGTAGAGGATTCCCTAAAACCCTGTTCTTAACTTTTTCAGCAGGGCAAAATAAGAACATTTTAGAAATTGAAAGATTTTGTATGCATTAATGTTGGGTCATTGACCAACATCTTCCTAAATCGAAACGTGGCGCTGGCTGCTACGCTATAAGGAAATAAGTAGCGCCTTCTCCACCAGCAATTGCTTTTGGCGTAGTGGTAAGCGCTTGGATCTTAATATATGGTATCAGAGCAGGTCACGGGTTCGAATCCCATGGAGTGCATAAGAATGCCAAAGGCATGCTGTGTAGCCATTGACTTCTAGCAAAGATCTTGTTAGTATTGGCAGATGCTGGGGGGGGAATTGTTGGGTCATTGACCAGCATCTTCCTAAATCGAAACGTGGCGCTGGCTGCTACGCTATAAGGAAATAAGTAGCGCCTTCTCCACCAGCAATTGCTTTTGGCGTAGTGATAAGCGCTTGGATCCTAATAGCCACGTTTCGATTTAGGAAGATGCTGGTCAATGACCCAACAATTAATAATTTATAGTGAATGTTCTATAAATCGCACCCATGAAAAATTAAGAGTTTCTACAAAAAATGGAAATGCTTTATAATACAGTATAGATAATAAGGGCAAAGACAATCGCAGGAAAGAATTCCTTGAACAGAATCATGGGGCTAGAGAAAATGAAGAAAGCATCCAAGTTTTTGTTTATCATCAATAAGGTTAACGCAAAACCTGTTGTGAAGGCAATCTAAAGCTTTTTTAGCTTTTCATGTTTTAATTAAGAGATTTTTAAAAATTGTGCATAAAACAACAATACTATATGCTTTTATAAGTTGTTTTTAGAACTTCTACGAATATGCTTTATAATTTAGTATAGATAATCTTCATTTTTGGTGAAACATGGAAGGAAGGTTAAGTTCTACCGGTAAACCAATAACTATTTGGTAACACATACCATATTGATGGTTTTGAACATAAATACACAATGATATGGGCCTTCACAAGAGTCTTTGTGTGCAAGTAACCAATTATAAGGATAAGTGATAAATTATGCATAGAACTTAAGGTTCAAATGCTAACCAAATTCCTACTTAAAACAAATTCATGCTTTTTAGTTTCAATCTAAATTTCTTCTCATTTGTGACATGAAAACATACTAGATTCATTACTTCCATTGGACCACACAAATTCAATATACATTTTTTCAAAAACAATCTGATTGATATTCCTAAAAGTTATTTGCAAGAATTTCTCATATATCATGTTGGGTTAACCTCATATCTAGGTTATTGTGCAATTTTGTAGGGAGACAGACCTTGCATTCTAACACCAAACCACACAAACCTAGTAACTCCCATCTAGGTAAGGTCTGAGTGTAGGATGTACACAACATTTCCTCTACGCTAACGGATAGAGAGGTTTTTTTTTTGTGAAAGCCCCTAGCTTGTAAAGAAGGAACAATTTACATGTAAAAATGTGTGCAATTAATCAATGAGTACATTTAAACAATGCAAGGCAACATGAACAAAAGTGAGAACATTTAAGACGATATTTCTAGTAAAAAGGTTGTAGACTTACTCTAGGACTCACACCTAGGCCTTGCTTGTTTTTTAAGAATTACCTCTTAATAGCCTCTTAGGTCGTATTCGCTCAAAGGTTCAGGCTTTCAGATTGTTTTTTGTTTTTTTAAGTGATAAGAGGTAATAACATCTGACCTTGTTCTGATTTAATTAGAGGTAGACCATCCTCTTATTCAGCTCTTATCGCTTACCTATTCATGCCTCCTCACGCTCAATCGCTCCATTCTCTCTCGATAAGGGGTTAGAGATCGATCAAACTCCAGATCATGCTCAATTACTCCAGTCTCTCTTAATCGCTCAAGTGGGCCAAGAACCCTAAAATCGATCTGGTCTCCCTCAATCGGGAAATCTAAAATCAATCCAGTCTCCCTGTTGCTTGATGTTCTCAATAGATCCTTGTTGTTGTTTCTATTGGTTCGTGTTGCCCTTTCAATCAATCCCAGATGACTCTCTCAAGCCATCCAATCTAGATCGATAACTCTAGTACAGATTCATACTTGGTCATTTATAACTCTCTGACTATGAACAACCTTAGCATATATGCATGATGCCTTGTGGTAACCCAATATATATATATATATATGATATATTATATGTGTAATGATTTAATACTTGCTATTTGCTTATTGGTGCCTCATTAACTAGTATGCTATGAAACAAACAGGGCCATGGACCCAACAGGTTTAGGTCTGAGACTTGTGTATCATAGGTCTTAGGCATGAACCTAACATCTTGAACTTCATGTGTGTTAAATATAGCCACTAAAGCTTCTTGATTGATTTACTATAATGGGTGTTCGGGTGTTTCTTAATTTTATCATCCGAACAGTGTTGAAGACATTGGTTTATCATGTGATGATTTTATTCAATGTAAAGTGATTGATTGTTCTATATGTTGATGATGTTTGTACATACCGGTACTTGATAGCATCCCACACAATCGACTATCAGAACCCGACGCTCTTGTTGAACATAACGGCGGTTTTTGTGCTCGTGATTGCCGCGTTACCACACATGCATAAGGTCTCGATTTTCGGAATCAATGTCGAAGAGTGAGGTGTTTGAAAGACAAAGAAGTCCAGTTCCACTTCTATCCATGGATATATGTGCATCCTTGTTAATTTTAACATGTAGCAGACATTTGAAAAAGGGTATATTAACTTTCCTTTTGGAGGTTATATCTTCATATGTTTTGTGGATGATCCAGAAACTAGAGTCAGTATAAGTGTTTTTAATTATATCAAAATGAAATCAAGTCTCCATGGTAATCCATCCGAAGTCATCAGGTTTTTTGGGTAAAGGGGATGAAAACCCAAGCAATCTTACAAATAGAAGAATTACAAAAAATGGATGGAAATATCACAAAATGCCTGTCCAACACATGCTTTGGGAAGATAGCTAGAGAAGGTCTAGAACTATACCCTAAAATATCGGATAGGAGCCAATAACCAAGGTTCTAAATAGCGTGAGCCGTGAGGCGTGGCGTGATAGCGAGGCCAAGCCTCAAGCCTTAGAAGCCACGGCAAGGTCACAACGTTTTTCAATGCGTGACTTATGGCGGAAAATCTCTATATCATATATAATACTATATACATAAACATATGTTTTCTACTAGTACTCAATAAATCAATGACAATAAACAATTTAAATTAAGTTACATATTAAAATCTAACAGATAAGTCAAATATTGTGTTACTTAAACCAGGCATTACATCATGGCCATGCCACAGGTTTAACTCGCATGAGACACAAGCCTTGAGCCATGGTGCGCCATGGTGGCTATTGCGGCAAGCCTTTTAGAATAGTGCCAATAATTAAACTCTAAAACATAACACAACTTTGAACAGAAAGACAAATTCCTTAGGCTAATTGTAGTATGATCCATGATCCAAATGCTTTTTCTTTTCAACCCACAAATTACAGCCCAATGATCATCACCCCCTTGACATTCCGTCTATGTTGCCAACCCATAAAAAAGGGTATTTACATCATCCCAAAGCTCGGTAGACAGCCGCAAAAAGTAAAAAAGGAAGCTCCCAAACTGAGATCGACAACTATTCACATACTCCAGAATAACCTCCAAAAATAAGGGATAACATGATCCATCAAAAACTCCACACACTTGGCAACCCAATTGAACAAAACTAGCGAAACATATCCCATAGTCAAATGCATATGATGCAAACCCAAAGRGCCAAAGAGGATAAGTTGTGATTTTGGTTTTCAACAGAACAGATGCTTTATTTAAATACAGAGATTTGGGTGTACTTGAATACCTGGTCACAGCATCACACACTAGTCAATTTCTCTATAATGATTCACAGCTGGGAAATGGATACAATCAAAGCCACCTAGGTAAGTAACAAACAAGATATAATGTAAATCAAGCTTACTGGTACAACGATGTTAAAATTGATGCATGATGCTAGTATGAGAAAGAAAAGAAGTGGGTTATTATGCCAAGTAATATATACAATAAACATCAAACACAGGAGTCGGTATTGATGGTAACGTTCAAAATGTTAATAGCATTCCATAAAATTATACATCACAAAATAATGACAAGTTCAATTAAGATTTTACCAGTCATCTAACCCATCCGCTTAGCCAGTATGTCTGCATAGCTAGGTGATTTTGGTCTAGCAAGAACAGCATGCAGTGATACAGATGAGATGAGACTGGTGTGGTTGGGACCCTTGGATATGTAAAATGTCGAGAGTATCAACCAAGACAGGTGTGTATTCCTTCAGCATGGTTCCATTACAGCTCATCACTGGATGCAAGGCAAAAGAGAAGAAATTCGAGGAAAACCCCCTAGTAGAATGGACAAGGCAATTGATTACTTATCATCAAAGTGTATCATCTGTATTTGTTATTCTAAATCTTCAGTTTCTTTAGCTACCTAAACTTGGTGAAACTTGGTGAAACTTGGTGAAACTTGGTGAAACTTGGAACAGTTTGTTAAATGAATTTCAGTACTTATAAAGGATTAAATAAAAGAAATTTAGTTTATTTGCAAGATAGAACATGATTTGTGAATCTGAATTCCACAGTGCAAGAACTAAGAACTTAGCAAATGCACCGACTACAAGATTGACCTTGAAGCATTTTGAAATCAAATTCAGATTCAAAGAATGAAAGAAAAACCTTCTCCTCAAAACCTTTTTACAAGCCGGGAAGAATGAAAGAAAAACCTTCTCCTCAAAACCGTTTTACAAGCTGGGTGTCTTCACGGAAACAATGTCTCTACTCCTTGAGGTCGGCATACATCCTAGCCTCCCAAACTCTACTTTGTGTGGGGGGTTTGTTTGGTTTTGGTCCACAATCCCCAAGTATTGGAGAAAGAAATTTCATTTTCAGTTCCAAGAAGCATGATSAGGTGTGGGTCAAGAAGTAACAGAATTGTTATAGAGATGCCCATCGATATCCGGAAGAAATCCCCGCTCCATCATTTCCTCTCTAATAATGTCATAGGTTATATGATTAGGTACCAAACCCTTCTCCAGCATCTTGTTAAGAAATGCATTAGCTTCTTCCAGCTTACCCTTCTCACAGAAAGCCTTAATCAGCACATTGTATGTTGGAACATTAGGCCTCCTTCCTTCTTTTTCCATTCTGGTCATCACATTTAGAGCCGCCCTAAGGTTTCCTTCCCCACAATAACCAGCCATCAAAGTGTTATAAGTTAGTTGGATCGGAATCAAACCCATTTGAGACATCTCATCGAGAAGCTTGATTGCTTCTCGTGACTCCCCCTTCTTGCAAAGTGCATCAATTCGTATATTATATGTTACAAGATCAGCCTTCAATTCTCGGTCCTTCATGTCCTTTAAAAGCCTATTAGCTGCCTCCATGTCTCCCTCTTTACTGTATCCAGCTATTAAGGAATTATAGGTTGAAACGTTAGGACTAACATTACTCTGCAACATCGATCCATGTAGTTTAGCTGCTTTTTCCATATTCCCAGCTCGGAAATAAGCATTAATAAGAATATTATATGTATATGCATTGGGAACCAAACCTTGCTTAGGAATATCATCAAACACCTCTTCACAGTTCTTCACCATTTTCTTCATAGAAAACCCATTCATTACAGCATTATAAGTAACAAGAGTAGGCTTCACACCTGAGTCAGCCATTTTATCCCGTAAAGCAAGAGCTTCATCAAGCTTCCCCAAACAACAAAGCCCATTAATCAGAGAATTATAAGTAACCACATCAGGTTTCAACCCACTGTCTTGCATTTTCTTGAACAATTTCATAGCAGCAGAAACATTTTTATCCCGGCAAAAACCATCAATAAGAGCATTATAGGTAATCACATTAGGGAAGATCTTCTTCTTGACCATTTCCTTCATAAGGGCATCGGCTTTATACATTTTTCCTGCTTCACCCTTCTTACAGTACCCATCAATGAGTGTATTATAGGTCACCACTGATGGCAAAATTCCCCTAACTTGCATATCCTCAAAAATATCCCCTGCCTTATACAAGCTCCCAGCCTTGCATAACCCATTGATCACCATATTAAATGTAGCCAAATTAACCTCAATCCTCCTCTTAATCATCTCTCTGTAAACAAACTCAACACGCCCAAACTTCTCCTCTTTCACTAATAAATTTAACAACTGATTGCATGACCACACTGATAACTTGAGCCCATAATCACCAGCTCTATCAAAAGTTTCGAATCCTAAATCTGCCTTCAAGTTCTTCACATAAGCTAATATTAGTAAATCAACTATGATCGAATTTGCACAGACGTTATCACAAACTTCCTCAAGCTTACGAAGAATCGAACAACACGAGTGTTCACTAATTGCATTCCTAACAAAACGATTATCCAACAAAGCCCTAATTTTTCCGTATTTGTTAGCATTAGCTAGCACATAAAAGAGTCTAGAGTAATGTTGAAGTGAGTGAGATACCTGAAACTCTTGCTGCGACCATTTGAAGTATCCTAAGACGACATCGTAAGAGGCATCCCAATCATAAAGTTGTTGAAGAAAAGGGCTAGGGTTGGTTGAATTGATTAAGAACTTGAGAGCACGCCATTGTTGGTTTCTTATGAGATGAGAGGTCGTATGTATGTCTAACTGATCATAAGAACGACAATCACTAGCGGATTCTGAAGAATAAAAAGAAGAATCGAGGCGAGAAGCATTGATGCAGGGAACCCGTGTGGGAAATCGGAAACGATAAAGAGGAATCATATCATCACTTGTACTAATTTGTACAGAATCGATAGTTGGGGTTTCTCTCTCGATTAACAAGCCCAGGGATCACAAACAAAGATCTAACCAGTGGTTTTGCTTGAATTCCAAGATGTTTCTTACCAACTGGTTCGATTGAAAGAAACTTGGGGTGATTGGGAACAACTGTTTTTTTAGTGCTAACTTAAGTGTATTAAACCGGACTTAAATAAAACACGTTTAAAATTATAAACTCATAATAACCAATTTTTCATAAGTTAGAAAGGATTAAAAACAATTTATTATCGGTTTGACATCGGTATAAACAGTTTTTTTTCTTATTGAAACACTAGAAAACAACTTATCACCGATGTCAAATTAAAATAAATTAAAAARCAACTTTTATAAGCAATCTCAAACACCCCCTTAATGGGTCGATCACAAAGATTCCTGCTTTGCTTATGAAAGGGAGAAGAGATCCCACCTTGCTTTGCTTATGGAAGGGGTTTAGTCATTTTTCTTCCTAAATTTTAAAAATATCACTATCATCGCCGGTGTTACCTTCTTAATTTGTGGGGTGGTCAAAATAAAAAAATATTTCTGAACATGATCCGTAAGTTGAGGGACCATATCTATAAATTAGAAGTGTTGGGACTAATACAGACTTGGTCCCTGTATTTGTGAATCATATTCAAAAACTTCTTTGTTACATTTTGATTCATTCATAAATTGAGGAGTTGTCACTTGCAGAGATGATAATATTTTTGAAAAATTATGAGAGAATTGGCTAAGAGACAAATACAAAGCCTAAAAATAATTATTTTAATTAATTTTACTTATTCTAGTAAACATCATATTATATGAGCAAATGTATCCATACATACTTGTTCATTATTAGAGGACACTATTCTTATGAATTGCTTACCGGATAAGAATTATCACCTTCAGTTATCGGGTAAAACTTTTTATCCTAAACATCACTTTCTCGACCCTTGTCATATTCATCAGATAAGATAAATGACTTCATAAACACTTAATATCAAACTGTCCCAAATATACATTTATTAGAAGAGGAAAAATCATATACATTATTGTTATGGAAATAATTTTTGATTAAATATTTATAATAGAACTTATAAAAGTACCTAACTTTATTTTAATCGTGAATTGATAACGTTTATGAATTCGTGAAACTATTAATGATGAGATTAGGTTAATCTATAAAAGTATAAAATTTAGAGTTAAAAGTGTAAAAACACAAAAATAAAATAAAAAACAAATGAAAAAAAAAAATTTAATCACGTCTTTCAAAAACAGGTGTGGGCCATTTCGTAAGGGCAGAGTTTTCTTATTTCAACATTGTGTTCTAAAAACCTTTTTTACGAAAAAAAAGGAAAGGAATGAATAAAAAATATGTATGTTCTTGAAACTTTTTTAGAAGAGAAAAAAAACGAAAGAAAAACAATCATGAGTTTTCTTCCAAAACATTCCTTCTAGATGTGGGAGAGATGGCCAAATGGGTCCGGCCCGGCCCGTAACCGCCGGAGGACCGGAACCGGGACCGGAAAGGGACCGGTATGGACCGGTTATGGACCGCCGGTTATGAACCGGTTATGGATTTTAACGTTTTTTAGGACCGAGACCGGTTAAAACCGGAACCGGTTATGTAACCGGTTATAGGACCGGCCCGGCCCGGTCAACAAAAGTCAACGTGTATATATATATAACAAAACGTATTTATAAAATTAGACGTATATATATATATACATATATATATATATATATAACAAAACATATTTTCAAACGTATTTATAAAATTAAACGTATA